CATATACACATGACATATAAAGAGTTTTCTTTTTCTTTTGATGATAAACCACAAGTTCCGAGCCTTTGACCATAATCTCCCATAGACAATTAAAAAATCTTCATATTGATTAGTTGTAAGATCTTGATGGAATTTTCGAACCTGATAACTTTCTTCGAATCTACCGTCCTTCAAAGAAGTGATGATGCTGGTTTTGCCAACGGCTTCATCTCCGAGGAATACAAGCTTGTGTCTCACTAAATCTTCCATTCTTGAATCTTTGAGGTTTTTGGATGGAAGGAGATGGTGAAATCTTGTTTATATAGATACCACAAGATACTGCAAATTATTCTAATTCGAAATATGTATAGTTTTTTTTTTCCATTTTAAGATAATGTTTATTGTTAAAGTTATATAGATTTAGTTACATGTCTTTTTTAGAAATGAATCTTGTAATTAATGAGACTTTGACAAATGTTTTTTTTGGGTTAGTAAATTGATTTTGACAATTTTTTAAAGTTTGCAATGCAAATATATATTAAGTGTCTAAATTGTATACTAAAAATGTAATATAAGATGGAATATTATTTTGAAAAGGAAATTAAAAGAAAAAATATAAGCTAGAATTATATGTATAGAAAAGGAAACAACTAAGTAAAAAAAGAATGGAAAAATCAAATAAATTAAAGACTTTATTTTGGGTAAATTGATTTTGACAAATGTTAAAGTTTTATAATGCAATTTAATTTAGTGGATAAATTTTATACTAAAAATTTAATAATATTGAATACTCATTTGAAAAGAAAAATCATATCTAGGATAACAGTTTTCTCTTCTTCTAAAAAGATAATGTTAAAATATATTCTAAATGTTCATTTATTTATATTAATTGTTAATTATTCAAAAGAATGTTTTCCTATTGAATATTTATTGCTAATAATAATATAATTCAATTTTTAACCAAAAATATTAAAATTGATCATTTAAAAAAAATTAGAATGTGTTTATGATTTTAAAGGGAAATAAAATTAAACAAAAACTAAGAAAGGTAACTATATCTCTAAATTATTAAAGAACAAAAATAAAAATACTTTTTACATTAGTTTTTCTCCAAATATTTTAGATTAGTTTTAAGAGCAATACATTACATAAAAAAAAATGAAAGCGTTTCTTATTCTTATCTTATTAAAATAAAAGCGTTTTTTATTTTCTCTCCATTTTCAGAACCCTTTAATATGTTGTTTGAAGAAACCTTCTTAAGAACTATGAATGGAGGTGGTTTATAAGATATGTTGTTTAAGAAACTTTAGATGGTGAGTTTCTTAAAATTAAAAAACTCATACA